AAGAACTTAACAAATATCTATCGCCTGGCCATAGAGCCGGCCATCCTTTATGGCGCGCCCTTTTGGGGGGACGCAGTGGATAAAGTTTACGTAAAGCGTAAGCTTCTAAAGGCTCAACGTGTCAGCCTCCTCAAGATCACCAAGGCCTACAGGACTGCCCCCACATCTGCCCTACAGGTGATTACTGGCATCCCTCCAATACATCTAAGCGTAAAGGCCAATGCAGCTAGTTGGTATCTCACCAACCTCAGTCTCTCAGATCGTACGAAGACTGAGCTAATAAGTTATCTAAATATTGGCATCCTTCCCAGCCTGGATATGCAACAAACCCTCATGCTTAACCACAAGAACACCCAAGTTACTCTTCACAGGCATTGCAGGCATCCTGCTTTATCTCCTACCGTCAATCTTCTCACTGATGCTAGTGTTTCCAACATCAACAATGCCAACACCATCTTCACAGATGGGTCAAAATCGTTTTTTGGTACGGGCGCTGCCATCGTGCACAGAAATAGCAACTGTACACATCCAGTCCACAAAAAGGGCTTTAAACTTGCAGGTTACTGCTCTATCATGCAAGCAGAACAGTACGCCATCTACAAAGCATTGGTCTACATCAACAATTCCAATCAGCTCCGCGGGAAGCAGGTCTGCATCTGCTCTGACAGCCAGGCCGCTCTCTGGAGCATAAGCAAGAAAACCCAGCGTAACCATCTCCACCAACTCATCATAGACGAACTGAAGAAAAGCAAAAGCAACCTCGTCTACTTTTCGTGGACCCGCGCCCATCAAGGTGTTATAGGAAATGAGGAAGCAGATGTGCTGGCTAAGGAGACAGCCACTTCTCCTGTTACACCAAGCTTTGATGACATCCCAACGGTGGCTGTCAAGAATCTCATTAGAGAAACGCTCATCCACATGTGGCAGAGGGAATGGGAAGAGGCGGACACTGGTAGGACTACCTTTAAATTCCTGCCTAACATTCCCAACCGTCTCTCTCTCAACCACATAAATGGCAACTATTTCACCAGCCAACTCCTCACTGGCCATGGGAACTTTCGCCAATATCTCAACAGATTCCACCACAGCGATACCCCCTTCTGTCAGTGTGACAGTGGCGATATAGAGGATCCCCTGCACTTCATCTTTGATTGCAACCTCTATGACACACAGAGGGATCAACTCATTCACAAAGCCCTCACTGAAGGATTCAACTGGCCCTGCACGCCCGATCTCCTCATCAACAACAGTGCCACCTACAATGGACTTACCGATTTTATCCGGGAAACCGGCGCTTTAAATCCAAACTTCACCAACCGGAATCAGACAAGGGACTCTTCACACGACAGTTGACCTCTACACCAGGGGCCGCGTTATAACCGGCAAAACATGCACCCGTTTGTAACTATCACCATTTTCAACTCCGGTATTTATATTTATTCTATAACCACAAAGCTTTTCTTTCATATGTAACGCGCCATAATTACGTGTACACTCTTTCTTTTTGCATACCGCACATGTATCCACCTATTTATATTACTGCGTTGTTCGCGCTGACGATTTCTCTCATCTTCACCATCTTTCCTATCACACTTCTACCCCCCTTATCCATTACCCCTTCTCCCTTTTTCTTTTCACCCAGGCGATACCCCTGAGTAGTCCTGGTCTTCCACCCCTTTCATTAAAAAAATAAAAATAAAAAAAATTAGGCCGGGGCCCGACATATCCGGACGGACGAGTCTGGATTCGATTCCGGGTCTCCCAGAGCGGTAGACTGCCACTTTGACTGCTCGGCCATCCGGTTCGGTCTCTGAGGCTGGAAAGTTCTCTTACAATCCATCGGATTCTTCGGACTTAAGCCCCAGTGATTTCGACTTGATCCCTAAATTGAAGGAACCACTGCACGGAAGATGATTCAGAACTATTCCAGATGTTCTTCAGGCAGTAGACCGCTCTATTTGGGCGATCAACCAAACAGGCTCTGCCGATGGCTTTCCGCCCTTCACATCTCTGGCAACAAATCTTACACACTGCTGGGGGCTACATTGAAGGATGGTAGAATCTGAAACATATATGTTTTTGTACAGCGTCGTGTTCAGTAACGCATAACATTACGTCAGAATACTGAGAGGCTTATGGGGCAGATCTAAAAGTGTTTTAAGCGTTATTGAACGATTATTCTTTGCCAGGCAACTAGGAAAACTTGCGGACGAAGTTAAAATTAAATAAAAATAAATATACAGTAATAAACTAAAATTAAAATACTGTAAGGTCTCTTTTTATGCGGATTATTTTTATGCGATTTTGAAGTTGTGCGGTTTGTATTTCATCCAAAAATTTCTTGGACAAACATACATATAGGCTTGTTTAGGAAGCCCGCGTATTGACAGTCTCCAAAAATCGTGGAACGCTCAAAGCTCACTCCATTTGTTCACTGACATACAACGTTTATGGATGTAAAGGACAGCTAGATCTACCTTAATCGCTTTAGTTCCTAGCAATTTTTGATATAAATGTAATTAAACATAAAAAATACTTAAATTGAAAAAAACGAAAGAAATGCGTTAATTTTGAAGAAAAAGCTTCAAAGTTTAACTTCCTTTGTCTCGCCCTTCTGTGAAATTTAACACGGATGAGTCATTGTTTACACACCTGGATGACGTTGAACACAGCTGGAGTTGGATTTCCCGGAGCATTCTCATAGACGTCATGGGAGGACAAGGGTTTAAAGTAGGGTGAACAATAGCTGGCCGTATATTTTTAAATATTTTTAAAAAATTTGGAGACTTAAAAAACATTCCAAAAATTCAAAAATTTAAGGACCGTGTTTTGTGTAACGCTATGTAACCTGCCCGAGTTAATTCGGGCGAGGAACTAAAGGGGTTTTAACTCTTCACATCCAGATGTTAGTGATTTGTTTTTAGAGTGAGCTTTTGCAATTCGGAGATTCTCCTTATATTATTTTTCAATAAAATAAACTGAATTAAGTTTGAATACAAGTTTATTTTAAGCTTTTATATGAATTTCTTTCAGACATTCGAAGTAATTTATTAAGCAGCCTATTTCTGTTAATTTCTGCAAACTTTTTTATGCGGTTTTAAGTTAATTTTAACTCGTTGTTTTGGTTTTATGCGATTTTAGAAAATTACGGAACGTATACCTACTTTTTCAAGGCAAGTAAAGTCTTTTTTTATGCGAATTTTTTATATGCGCTTTTCTGCAGAACGTATCCACCGCATAAAACGAGACCTTACAGTAGTAATTTCTTTATATTTAAAATGAAGCTATTTAATCTAGCACGAGCAGCTATTACTACAGGTATACCTCGATTTACGTCGTTTCGAGTTACGTCGTTTCCGATTATACGTCGTTTGTAAAAAAAAAAAGTATAGAATTCTTCAAAGAGAAAACGAAGCAAAACGAGAGACAGAGTGGACGTCACTAAGTACAGTAAATCTCATAGCTGGCCGGATAGAAGCCTACCGCTTCGGGGACTTGGCTTCGATCCGGACGAGTGGAAAAATACTTACGAATTTTTCGGGGGTGATCCGACCGGATATGTCGGGACCCGGCTCTCACCACCCGGCCGTCCCATTGTGGGTCTGGCCGAACCAACAATGGGTTTGCTAAAAGTGGCTCTCTTAGGCCCACAGGGTGAAATGAGCAAAAAATGAAAAAAAAAATGAAAGCAAAGTAATTTTAAAAGTAGTCTGAGTAAATGAGTGAGAGTTCTTACGGTGGGCGGAGTCAGAATTACTAAGAATACTGGACACTGGACACAGCCTGACTAAGAGCGCGTTTGGAAATTGTAACCGGTGTAACTAGTTACACCGGTTACAATTTCCAAACGCGCCCTAAGTCAGAATTCAGCATTACCGAACACGGCTTTGATTCTAATTTCAGAGTTGCCACTATTAAAAGTCCTCGTACTATTTTTTTTTACTGCAAATTTTTGGAACGATTTGGCACCGAGGTAATCGTAATAATTGACGTTTTATGCCGCACTAGTTTAATGAAATAAGCCTAATCTAATATATAATCGAGACGGGTTGATAATAATAATAATATTAATAAGCGCAGAGCCCAAACGGTTAGGAGTTGAAAGTTGAAATTTGGTACACAGATAGGGTACGTCATGAAAACGCACACTAAGAAGGGATTTTTCGAAATTCCCCCCGGGGGAGAGAGAAAGGATTAAAACTCTATATACATTATGGATATGAGCCCAAACGGTTAGGAGTTGAAAGTTGAAATTTGGTACACAGTTAGGGTACGTTAGGAGAACGCACACTAAGAAGGGATTTTTTGAAATTCCTCCCCACGGGGGAGAGAGACAGGATTAAGTCTTAACACTTCCATCAACAATGGAAGTGTTAAGTAACAATGGAAATGCTAAGTAACAATGGAAGTGTTAAGTAACAATGGAAGTTTTAAGTAAGAATAAAAGTTTTAAGTAACAATGGAAGTGTTACGTAACAATGGAATTGTTAAGAAAAAGCGAAGTGCAAGACGCAGATGCAGTTTTTTTCGTTTTTGCGGGAAATCGAACATATTTTTAGAACCATCTAAAAATTCTCTAATTAGTCTGGAAACAAGGGGACCCAATTCTTGCATTCTGTGAAAACGGGTAAGGTTGACCGTAACGTAATAATCTTTATCTTAGTTATCGTTACTTTTGCCCGAGCAACGCCGGACCCACCTGCTAGTTTTTGATAATTAAAATACACCGGTGCACAAAAGATTAAGTTAACAAACCAAATTGGCATAAGAACGCCCCCGAATCTACTGTGGCTACTGTTTTATTTTATTTAAAAAAAAAAAAAAAAATTAAAAACTTCCTATTGTGAGATTTCGGAATTAAATGCACAAATATATAAATATTTTAAACTAGTACAAAATAATAAAAAGGACTAAATATGGCGGCGCTGCATTTAATTGCAATAATTTACACATCTACAGAATGGTTTTGTATTTTTTTTTTTTGGTCAGTCGCCATCTGTCGGCCAACCGATAGACGGTTCGCCATTTTCAAAACTTCCGATCGTTTGTTTACAAGTTGGGACGGCGGAGTCTTTGTATTGTCTTTTTAAGTTAGTCGAGACATGAGCGTCATTTTATGTAATAATTGTTATAAATTCTGTCATTGCGTCGTAAGATATTTATCGTTTACAATTCCTTATAAACAAGACAGGTTATAATGTTTGTTTAACATTTAGTTTTATAATAACTCGAATGACTTTCTACGTTGAAAAATTAGTGATTTGAATAATTAATTAGAGAAGAAATGGAAAGTGTGAATGAAGAATTGACTTCGGTCGACGAACAAAATGAAAATCATAATCTTCCAGTTATTGATATTGTGATTAATAACGTCGTTTGTAGCTTCAATGTTCGTAGTCATTTGAATCTCAAAGAGATTGCACTTTCGGCAGCCAATGTCGAATATCATCGTGAGAATGCTGTGAGTATACAGAATTTTTTTTAATTTACAAGTTATATGATGAACCATCAAATTGTAAGTAGCTGTAGTAAAATTGCTGTTATGTTATATACAACTAAGATTTCTTGTTAATTTAGAGATTTAAGTCCTTATTTCTAAGGAAATTACGGCTTAAAATCGTTTAATGTCTACAATAGAGTGGCCCTCAAAGTTCCTACGTGTGAGATCTGCTAGATCATGGCTGCATTCGCAGACTCGACAGTTCCTGTACTTTTCCGTCCTCAATGGTATCGCCGTTTCGGAACTTGTTTGGTATTTTGACATTGCTGGCCGAGCGGTTCCGTTCCCTGAATGCTGGGAGTTTGGTCGTGGGCTCGCGCCTCGCCGGAACGTGGAGTTTTCTGGGTTTTCTTCACATCTAATGCCTAAATATGGGCCATTTACCTTTAAAAAGACCTTCTGGAAGGCATCCCCTCCTATGCAGATCACCCAAGTGTTACATTGCCATAACTTAATAAACAAACAAACATTTTGGTGTCACATTTAGTAGCATCTTTTATTTTGGCCTATGCTATCTGTTGCTACCTGAAACTGACCGATGATGGTCCCTTTTTGTTCTTATGCATGAGTTGCTCGTTCATCAGATGTAACTATGTAATGGCTACTTAACAAAATGCCTTTGATCAGTTATGACTGCTGACTTTGCTTAAAGCAGCCAATGTATTCTACTTGGATCTGATAAAGTGCTCTTGAAGTTTGGTCTTAATAATATATAGGTTATTGTGATAGAATATTCCTCAATTCCTCTTTATAATAATTAAACACCTAAATAAAGCTTTCAGGAATTGCATAATGACTTCCGTCTTTCGTGTCAATAGTTAATGTCCAGAAGAATGTGGAGAAAAACTGAAAGTTTTGTAAAAACTGGAGAGAGTATACAAATAATTTGTAATTAACATGTATAAAGACTGGGAATTGCTATTTACTGACTTTTTTTTACTACTGGTAAACAGTAAATTTTTAAATTATGATTCCAAATACACACTACTGATTGCTTAGTTGCTGATTACCAGTGAGTTGGCAATTAATTGAATTTCCTATTTTTTTATTTTGAAAAGCAAAAGTTTTGTTACCTGAAAAATAAAGCATTCTATAATTTTTTAGTTATCATGATTAAAATGTAACCTGTGTGAGTGCTCACCTTGGCTGCTTTGATATAAGCTGTTAAGGAGTCTGGTTTGGAGAGAATGTGTGTAAATAACAAACATGATCTGAATGTTTGTCAAAGACAAATCCAAATTTGAGTGCTCACATTCAAATAAATCTGTTCCATTTTGTCAACTAAAATTCTGCTTAACTAAAGTTGCTATAAATGTTCTAGGCATTACAGGTAAAGAAATAAATTTCCAAACTATCCAGCCTAGTATTGTAACATGATACTGTACTTTAAAAGTTATAAAAAAATGTAAAGTAATAATTTAAAAGAAAATAATTTGAACTACTTTCACAGTTTAAATCAGTGGTGTTCAACCACTGATTTAAACTGTGGTTGAACACCACTAGAATTAGAATTAGCACTAAGCCAATTCTAGTCTGTTGCACATGTTAATCTAGACTGCAGATGTATTTCATTTACAAATGATAGAAATTGACCTATTTTTGATATACATAGAATATACAAAATGTTTTGTGGTCTTCTCAAGATTGAAGGATTAAGGTAGCAAGCCTGTGAGAACTTTCTATGGGAAACTGGTTCTTCTAAGTTAGACATGTGAAGAAAATTCAGAAAACTCCACAAAGATAACCCATTAGTTAGGTATGAACTTGCAACCAGTATTCAGTGGTTTTATCCATTTGGCCACTGATGGGTATGGCCTACTTACCTATGATTTATATGCAATTTGGTCTGCCAGTTGAAAAGTTTGGGCACCACTGGTTTAAAAATAACAAGTAAAATGGCAAAACCGTATTTGGGACAAGACTATGTCTCGGAGACAGAATCACTTTGATGCTCAAGACAGGTCTCGTTCTCATTCTCCTATCTTCTTTGATATCGCTGGTTTTGGGCGTGATCGTTTAAACTTTGCCAGCCATGACCATGAGATCGTCCACGATGCATCTTCGATGAAATTAACTTATCTAATTTCAAAATTTATCTCTGTTGCGTGTCAGCCTGGGTTGAATTTTTGTCAATGCGTAACGAAAAGTTCCCGTTTTTTAAAAAAATAATCGTGGTTATTGTATCGTCCAAAATTATTTTTTTATTTTGCAAAAACAATATACAGTTTAACCCGATTATAAGGTCATCGAATGTAATGACAACCCTAATATAACGTCAAATTTTTATTGGTCCTACGATTTTACTATACAGTAGATCCCCCTATAAGACGGTAGATACGTTCCGTTCTTTATGAATCAATTTTGTAGGAATCATAGTTTACGGACTACAGCTGTTTGAAAGGTTTTCTTTCATAAAATTAATCGATTCTAGACTAATTCGACTCAACATTTCCAAAATACGTATATTTTTTTGAAAATAATCCGTATAAACTACGTTATAAACAAAAAATTGTAGGATTGCTTACCGAGTGTGTACCGTTCGACTACGCCCGTTGCTAAAGCTTGGTTTCGTCGCGGAACAGCGCATCAAACTGCGGCCGCGATTTCTGATATTATTTTTCTGCGAAAACTTCGTTGACCTTTGGAGACATCATTAATATAAATAATTTTTATGGCCGTTAAATAAGAAATGTTTCTTTCACAAGAAATGTATAAAATTACAGTACTGGACAGACGATAGGTCGCCTAACTCGCCGTAGCGTGACGCTAGACGGCGAAAAATATATATTTAATTATAATAAAGTTACAATAAATTAAGTTAATATATAATTATATATACAGTACCTAATTTATATATAATTAATATATAATTATATGTACAGTACCTAATTTATATATAATTATATGAACAGACGATACTAAACTCAATTTATACGCCTAAACGTCCGTAGCGCCACGCTACGGACGGCGGGAAAGTAGTTCGGCTGCCCGATGACGTTTTATGTATTATAGGAGTTATTTTTACCGTTGTTTACGGATACTGCCACAATTTTTATAGGAATCATAACTATAGGAAACGGTTTTATAGGGGGATCTACTGTACTAGATAATGTTAAAAAAACCCACTTGTAATGATATAAAACCATTTTAATGTCATATTTGAAGCACTCCCAAATTTACAAAATTAGATTACAAATTTTATTTAACATAGAAGAAACTACATGTTCAGTCCTAAGGTCAGAGTTCACTTCTTAGAATGACTGCGGGTGGTACTCTCCCCTATCCGACTTCGGTGGGGTGAGGTGGCTGTTTTGCCTGTTTGTAGAAGAGGGTCACCATTTTGTATTTTATTTTGACTCGATTCTCGGTCCCCTGACTACCTACGAGTCTGGATTTTTTTTTATGCACAAATGATTTGGGCACCTAATACTCTGTGCCAAATATCAACTCTCGCCATGTAGGCCTACTTCTTCATACCTCTAGGCTGATAAGAACGAGTGGCAGTACGATTTTATAAACAAGACATAGTCTTGTAAAAAATATATGACACTTCTATGATGTTAATATATAAAACTAAATATATGTGAAAGTGTTTTCAAAAAATTATTACATATGCATCTATTTTTAACAAATTTTCCAGTAAAGTAAATTATATTACTGGTAAATTTACCAATGCATTTTTTTAACTGATTTAACCAGTTTACCAAATAATGCAATTCCTAGTAAGAATTTTGTGGCTACTCTATACAATAGCTAATGAGAATGCTATAAGTTATAAAGCTAGCTTAATAATTTTAAAATAAAATTATATTTAAGAAGTTTTAAATATTTATGCCTGTAAAGTTTTTAGAGGTTATCATTTTCTAATAGGCCTAACTAATGATAATTATAATATACCGATGTCCAAATTAAAGTAACAAACACATTTGGCACAATAAATTGAAAGTGCTATCATTCTGAAAAAAATGTATATAATTTTTGCATGACAAATTGAATTATCTCAATCAACAATCTTATTATAAATTGAATTATCATTTCTATTGAAAGTAACTGAGGAAAAATGCATATTAAAAAGCTGAAATACACTGGTGATCGGTTAACGAACATAATTCGTTCCAAGACTTTGTTTGTTAACAGATTATCGATTTACCATAGATTTTTATGGGAATTTGATTACAGTAGATCCCCCTATAAAACCGTTTCCTATAGTTATGATTCCTATAAAAATTGTGGCATTATCCGTAAACAACGGTAAAAATAACTCCTATAATACGTAAAACGTCATCGGGCAGCCGAACTACTTACCCGCCGTCCGTAGCGCCACGCTACGGAGAGATTTCTATCGTCTGGACAGTATTATATAAATTATATATAAATTAGGTACTGTACATATAATTATATATTAATTATATATAAATTAGGTACTGTATATATAATTATATATTAACTTAATTTATTGTAACTTTATTATAATTAAATATATATTTTTCGCCGTCTAGCGTCACGCTACGGCGAGTTAGGCGACCTATCGTCTGTCCAGTACTGTAATTTTATACATTTCTTGTGAAAGAAACATTTCTTATTTAACGGCCATAAAAATTATTTATATTAAGGATGTCTCCAAAGGTCAACGAAGTTTTCGCAGAAAAATAATATCAGAAATCGCGGCCGCGGTTTGATGCGCTGTTCCGCGACGAAACCAAGCTTTAGCAACGGGCGTAGTCGAACGGTACACACTCGGTAAGCAATCCTACAATTTTTTGTTTATAACGTAGTTTATACGGATTATTTTCAAAAAAATATACGTATTTTGGAAATGTTGAGTCAAATTACTCTAGAATCGATTAATTTTACGAAAGAAAACCTTTCAAAAAGCCGTAGTCCGTAAACTATGATTCCTACAAAATTGATTCATAAAGAACGGAACGTATCTACCGTCTTATAGGGGGATCTACTGTAAT